GGGGTGTGGATAGCAAGGCCCAGGACTCGGCTCCAGGGTTCTCTGATTAATAATTATTAGATAATAATTATCATTTTATTCCTTGAAGCATCTGGCACAGTGCCTGGCTCTATACAAGTCCTCGGAATTGGACAGAACTCTACAGTACTTTATTTTCCCCACTAATGAGGATGCCAATTCTATCTTAGCAGAAGAGCTGTAAGTTAGGATCACTCAGTTAAGTAGGAAATTAAGAGAGTTCTTAGGAGTTTCAAACAAAAATTCCAGGTCTACAGAGCCCAAATTCTGAGCTGCAGCCCTTCCCTAATCCCTACTCCCCACCTATGCTGAGATCCAGCTCTCCTAGTTTTTCTGATATTGAGAAAACTTTAAAGTTGGGAATTTGCTCTGCTGAGACTCAGTCACCCTCACTTTACCTTCAGTGCCATTGCTGCAGGAACTACGGCCTTCAGGTTGACTCCAGATACAGCCTTGCCATGCCTCTCCCTACCCTTGACTGCAGCAGCACTGAAATAGCAGCATGAATCACTCTGGGACGTCACATGGTGCCCAGGCCAGACGCGGCTGTGGTTGGTCCTCCTGTGTTCCAGGGACCCGGGAGGAGGGCCCTGGCCGGCCAGAGTGGCTGCCTCCCTGTCCTCCTCTGAGTCTACCAAGAGGCTTGGAGAAAACTGAGTTGGTGGAAGTTATAAGAGCTAACACTTCTGGGTATTCAGAGGTGGCTTTACTGTAACACTAAAGCAGCTTAAACATCGGGGACGCCATTCGTGCTCCTTCTAAAGCCACACACTTCATTTTTTGTGTGTTTCTTCTCTCAAAGCGAGCTCTCAAATTGTCATAAGCTTGAGGTCTGACAAGACTCAAGTCCAACCCGGGAGGATTATATTGTTCACTCTGCATAGTAACCTTGGGAAGTCAAGGGCACTTCATCCTCCCCACCTTACAGTCAAGGACACTTAGAGCACAAAAAAGCCTTCCTTAGATTTCTTGAAAATTCTGGGCCAGGGCCAGGCGTGGTGGCTCACACCTGTGTAATCCCAGCACTTTGGCAGGCGGGGGCAGGTGGATCACTAGAGGTAATGAGTTTGAGACCAGCCTGGCCAACATGGTAAAACACCATCTCTACTAAAAACACACACACACAAAAAAAAAATTAGCCTGGCGTGGTGGTGGGCACCTATAATCCCAGCTACTAAGGAGGCTGAGGCAGAATCGCGTGAACCCGGGAGGCAGAGGTTGCAGTGAGCCAAGATCGTGCCACTGCACTCCAGCCTGGACTACAGAGTGAGACTCCATCCCCCACCCCCTCAAAAAAGATAAAGAGAATTCTGGGCTGGGCATGGTGGCTCACACCTGTAATCCCAGCACTTTGGGAGGCTGAGGCAGGTGGATAATGAGGCCAGCAGTTCAAGACCAACCTGGCCAAGACAGTGAAACCATCTCTACTAAAAACACAAAAATTAGCCGGGCATGGTGGTGGGTGCCTGCAATCCCAGCTACTCTGGAGGCTGAGGCAGAGAATTGCTTGGACCCAGGAGGCAGAGCTTGCAGTGAGCCGAGATCGCACCGCTGCACTCCAGCCTGGGTGACAGAGCGAGATTCCCTCTCAAAAAAAAAAAAAAAAAAAAATTCTGAATTTGCCCTGGCCTCAGGACCTTTGCATCCTCTGTTGCCTGTGTGGTCCCCTGTGCCCCCTAAGCTTCTCCTCGCTCCATCTCTGACAGGCCTTTACTAACCACTCGCCTCTGGGAGTGCTTTCCTTCCCTGTCACCCAGGTCATCTCTCTGTGCCTTGCCTTTTGTGTTCTCTGTAGCACTCACTCTTGAGAATTATCATTTGTGCACTGATTTTGATTTAATAAATCCATGTAGTTCTTATTCCGTAGCCAGGCACTGTTTTTTTTTTCTTTGGAGACAGAGTCTTGCTCTGTTGCCCAGACTGGAGTGCAGTGGCATAATCTTGGCTCACAGCAACCTCTGCTTCCCGGGTTGAAGTGGTTCTCCTGCCTCAGCCCGCCGAGTAGCTGGGACTACAGGAGGGCACCACCACACCTGGTTAGTTTTTGTATTTTTAGCAGAGATGAGGTTTCTCCATGTTGGCCAGGGTGGTCTCAAACTCCTGACCTCAGGCGATCCCCAGGCCCTCTTCTTGACAAGTTCTAAGTGCTTTATGAATATCAAAGCATGTAATCCTCACAACCACTATGATGTCAACACTTTTTAATCCCCATTTGAAGATGGAGGCAACTGAAGTACAGACAGGTTGTGCAAATTGCTTAACATCACACAGCTGAGAGTTTAGGTATCATCTTTCAGTAGAAAAGGTCCCTGTGAGCAGAAGCTTCATCTGGGGCTGCCCTGGTCACTGCTACGGCCCTGCACCCAGAGCAGTGCAACACACTCTAAAAAAAGGTGTGTGGGAAATGGGACCTGGCTACTCGGAGAGAAGCTGCTGGGGAGAAGATGGAAGGCCTGGAAAGGCTACTGCTGGTCAGGTGGGCACGTGTGGTGGCCTGGAGACAGTGCCAAGAAGAAATGAAAGATGTCCTTGACAGATTGGATGTAGATGAATAAGAGAGAAGGCCAAGGCCTCAGAGGAACCCTTGACCCCGCTTTCCTTCATGCTCCCTCCAAAATGCATCCAGAATCCTATTCCTGTCCCCTCCTCTGCTCTCATCCTGGCTCCCTGGGATTACTGCCACAGCCTCCTAAGAGGTAACCCTGCTCTCACTCTCCCCTCTTTCTCCACACAGCAGCCAGAGGGATCCTGAGAAAACTTAAGATCATGACACTCCTCTGCTCAAAACCTGCCAATGTGTTCGGGAGTGGCAATGGCCTCTAACCCTGCAGGACCTGGCCCCTACTTCCTCTCGGCAGCTGTGTCTCCTGCCATCCTGGCTACCCCGAGGCAGCTCCCATCCCAGGGCCTTTGCACTGGCTGTTCCATGGGCCTGCAAGGTTCTCCCCCACATTTCCAAGGATCTCACTTCCTTGCTTTCTTCAAGTCTTTTCTCACCATGCCTCATTATTGAAAATGCAAAATCACAGGGCGCAGTGCTGGGTCTGTAAACCCAGCACTTTGGGAGGCCGAGGCGGGCGGATTACTTGAGGTCAGGAGTCTGAGACCAGCCTGGTCAACATGGGGAAACTCCGTCTCTATTAAAAATTAAAAAATTAGCCGGGCGTGGTAGCGCACACACGTAATCCTAGCTACTTGGGAGACTGAGGCAGGATAATTGCTTGAACCGGGGAGGCAGAGGTTGCAGGGAGCCGAGATCGCCCCACTGCACTCTAGCCTGAGAGACAGAGCAGGAGTTTAAGACTAGCCTGGACAACACGAAGAAATCCGTCTATACAAAAAAATAGAAAAATTAGCTAGGCGTAGTGGTGCCTGCCTGTAACCCCAGGTACTTGAGAGGCTGAGGTGGGAGGATGGCTTGAGCTCAGGAGGTCCAGGCTGCAGGGAGCTGTGATGGCGCCACTGCACTTTAGCCTGGAGACAGTGAGACTCAACTCCGTCTCAAAAAAAAAAAAAAAAAAAAAAAAAGGCAGGCGGTTGGATTACACAGGCCCTGAACCCCACCCTAAAGCCTTCAGCACTTTCAAGTGAGGGATTACCAGGTTTGCAGGTCTGCGGCAACTTGGCTGCAGTGTCCAAAATGGGTGGGGCAGGTGGGATTAAAGATGAGGCTGTGGAGACAAGCTATTGGCAGAGAAGACACACTTTAAACCCTGGGAAGATGGCATTACCCAGAGAGGGGGAAGGATGAGGACACTGCAGAGCCCAAGACCATTGCCAGACCCGAGTCATGCGGCTCCTTTGTTCCAGGAACCACAGCTGACTCTAGAAGAAATAGCAGCATTTTCACTCCGCAGGTGCATCTCTTCCACGCTTTGGGGTGCCTGCCGTGACTCTGACTTCTGGGGCTGGGATTTAAGGCTCTACCAGGCCACAGCTAGCCAGCTCATAGGCGGTTAACCACCTGATTCAGCTCTTGGTCTCTTTCACTCCTTTACATCGGACTCACGAGGGCAGGGGGACAGCTCCCTTTCGCTAAGTACTTTCCGCGTGCTAAACACCGCACGAATTCCCCTCGGCCCTACAGGACCACAGGACCAAACGACTCAGAGAGGGTGTGCGGTTCCACTGAGGACGCCCAGCGGAACAGCCGCACCCGCCGCGATGAGATCCCCTGCCTGTCCAGCCCAAGCCCAAGAGCCCTCGCGGTCACGTGGCATTTCTGGAACCTAACAGCCAGAATGCAGGAGGATCAGGCCGAGGCCGCAGCGCTGAACAACGCGCGCAACTGGCGGTCGAGGACCGCGCAGCGCGACCGGCTAGGACCTCCATCTCGATGCGTGGGCGAAAGGCTGGGGCCCTGTGCCGCTGGCGATCCCGGGGACCGCCTGGAACTCGCGGCACTAGGGATCCAGATGGAAAGTAACCCAGACGCACCGCAGCTGCCGGAGACATGGCTACAGTACCGGACTACGGCCGGGACTGCCATATGCCACGGGCGGGGCTAAACCCGGCCTTTTGAAAGGCAGCGATTTAAACCAATCAGCGCAAAGGGTTGGCAACCCTCCGCCCAATTGGAATCGCTCTCATTCTGAAGGCGGTTCCGACATGGAGTCCGGCAGCCCAATGGGAGAGGTGGAAATTTCCAGAACTAACGGAACCAATGGGCGCGGCCAGCGCGGCTACGATTGGCAGAGCAAAAGACCAATCTGTGTCGCAGAAGTCCGCTCCTCCCTCCGTTCGTGCAGCCTGAGATGGGTGGGTTTATAGAGCGGCGTCCAATCCTGAGGTGCGGGGGAGGCAGGGTTGAGGGAATCACTCCCCGCTGTCCAATGAGAGGGAAGTGGAGATGATGGGCTGGACCTCAAGCCAGTAGTAGAACAGCACAGAGAGCCCCCTAGAAGTACTCGACCAGTGAGCAGGCGAGGAAGGGGCGGGAGCCGGAGTCCCGGCAGCTTCTAGTAGGTTCCAGAAGGCGGCGCGTGCGGTTCGGATCGCGGAGCGGACGGATTCGATTCAACGGGGTTCCGGGCCGCGCTGCGCTATGGAGCAGGTGAAGGGGGAGGGGCGGGCTGAGGCCCCGAGACCGCTCGGGGACCGGCGGAGGCCAGGCCCACGGTAGGGGGCGGGGCGGGTGCCAGATCTAGGCGACCGGAGCTGGGTGCTGGAGCCGGACGGGGCGGCGGCGGGGAGGCGAGGGCCGCGGGCGGCGGGCGGGAGCGGGATCTGTAGAGAGGCCGGCCGCGGGGAGCGCCCATCGCCCCTTGGTTGGGCGAAGAGGGCCGGGAGGAGGCCACAGCTTGGGTGAGTCCGGCCGGCGGCGGGAAGAGGGGCCGCGACCGGGCCCTGAAGGCGTCCCGAAGGGGCTGCTGCAGGCTATGCTGGGGAGGGTGCGGGCCGCAGAGGGCGGGGTGGAGTTAGGCCAGGGGCCGGGGTCGGCACCCGCGAGGTAGCGCTCCGGGAGATCTGAGACAGCCGACGGAGAAACCGCTCGGGACTTAGCCACGAGGAACTTGGACGGATCCAGGGAGCGGGGACGGGAATACACTGGGTCTTAGCAGCCTGAGATCCAGTTGGGGCAAATCTTACTCTTCTGCATCTGAGAATGTGAGGGTGGGAGAGCGTTGAGCGGGGATTTGAGGAGCTGCAGACCGAGTGTAGCTGATGCAGTAAAGGGAAGGGTGCCGCAAAAGTCCTTGGAACGAATTCCATCTCTGACAGTGGTTTACAAATGTATTGCGGCCCCTCCCCCTCTTTTTGTATGCGTGTGTGTGATTGTCGAGTGACCGAGGACCGACATTTACGAAAGGTGGATTTCTAGCTACACTGGGGCGGTTGTAGACAATTTGCAGAGATTAACTGCTAGAAGTTATGGGCCTCTGTTGAGCATTTGGGGGGCAGAGTTTGAAGCGGCTGCTGCTTCCTTTCAGTGACTTGGTTATGCCCTCAGTAGCTTGTGGTTGTGAAAGGCCTAGAGATTTTGTTCCATTGGAAGCTGTCATTGAGCTATAATGATTCATCGGAAGAAAAAGGACAGAACAACCTCCGAGAAACCTCTACCAACATCTGAGAAATCATCTGCTCGAGAGTACTACCCTCGTCGCTCCGGGCCCATAACACTTGGGGGTGACAGTTCTGAAACTATACCTGGTATTTGGTTCTTACTTCAGATCCATAAAACTAAGATTGCCCACACTCTCCCCTTAAGTAAGACATCTCGATGGACTGGTGGCTACCACCCTTTTTTTGGTGTGAGTTACAGAGCTGAGCCTTTGGTCTCTTGTAGCAGTTGCTGCTTTAGGCAAAGCTCGAGCTTCCTTGCTGTATTAAAAAGAGTGGAAATGAAGTTAATAAACTTTTTGTGCCCATATAATGCTTCAGTTGTATCTAGGATTAAATGGGCTGTAGTATAGGTGAGGGAAAATTTTCTGGAATAAGACATTGCTCTTTTACTTTTAAGAAAGGATCTCGGCTGGGTGCAGTAGCTCGCACGTATAATCCCCAGCACTTTGGGAAGCCAAAGCGGGCGAATCACCAGAGGTCAGGAGTTCGAGACCAGCCTGGCCAACATGGTGAAACCCCCTCTGTACTAAAAGTACAAAAATTAGCGGGACATGGTGGCGCATGCCAATAATCCCAGCTACTGGGGAGGCTGAGGCAGGGGAATCGCTTCACCCCTGGAGGCGTAGGTTGCAGTGAGCTGTGATTGTGCCACCACACTCTAGTCTGGGCGACAGAGTGAGACTCCGTCTTGAAAAAAAGAGAAAGGACCTCTTTTTGCTGTTACCAAATTTATTTTTTATTTTTTAGAGACAGGGTCTGGTTCTGTGGCCCAGGCTGAAGTGCACTGGTGGGATCATAGCTCACTGCAGCATCAAATTCCTGGCCTCAAGCGATCCTCCTGCCTCAGCCTCCTGAGTAGCTAACCACACGCCACCACAATTGGCTAATTTTTAAATTTTTTGTAGAGACAGAGGTTTTGCTATGTTTCCCAGGCTGGTCTCGAATTTCTAGGCTCAAGCTATCCTTCAGCCTTGGCCTCCCAGTGCATGAGGACTAGGATTACAAGCGTGAGTCACTTTGCCTGGTCTTAAAATGTTTGTTTTTAAATCACCACCACCCATGATAGAAGTGTATGTGCAGGTAGATAGATGGTGAATGAATATTTGACTTAGGACAGCAAACTGACATGGCAACTGTACAGATGACCTGGCATTTAACTCCAGGTGTGTTTGAGCCCACCATCTGGAAGCCATTCCTGAAAATAAACAAGACTTTGTTTTCATTTTCAACTGTGAGGTTTGTATTTCAGTTTAGAAAATACTCAAGTTGGTCTGGGTGCGGTGGCTCACACTTGTAATCCCAGCACTTTGGGAGGCGTAGGTGGGTGGATCATGAGGTCAGGTTGAGACCAACCTGTCCAGCATTGTGAAACCCCATCTGTAGTAAAAATAAAAAATAATAAAAAATTAAAAATCGCCCCAGGGGCGGTGGCTCACGCCTGTAATCCCAGCACTTTGGGAGGCCAAGGCGGGTGGATCATGAGGTCAGGAGTTCGAAACCAGCCTGGCCAATATGGTGAAACCGTGTCTCTATTAAAAATACAAAAATTAGCTGGGCGTGGTGGCATACTCCTGTAGTCCCAGCTACTTGGGAGGCTGAGGCAGGAGAATCGCTTAAACCCAGGAGGCAGACCTTGCAGTGAGCCGAGATTGTGCTACTGCACTCCAGCCTGGGTGACAGAGCAAGACTCTCTCTCAGGAAAAAAAAAAAAAATTAGGTGAGCAGCGGGGCGTGCACCTGTGGTCCCAGCTACGTGGGAGGCTGAGGCAGGACAATTGCTTGAAGCCGGCTGGTGGAGGTTGCAGTGGGCCGACATTGCTCCACTGCCCTCCAGCCTGGATGACAGTGAGACTCTGTCTCCAAAAAAAAAACAAGTTGGACAGATTTTGAATGTTCAAGCTTGTCTTTTTTTTCAATAGGGGCCTTTCAAATAAATCCCGCAATGATATACTTCTTACATTTAACCCAACACAGGCATACAGCCATGTAACACATTCAGCAAAACAGTGTTTACTGTTATGTGCCCTGTGTGCTGGTATTTTTTGTCCCACTTGGTCTCTTAAAATGCTGGTCATGACCTACAAAATTGATTTCCTGACCCACTGCTGATCAGTACTCTGTTTGAAAAATGCTTTTTTAAAGCATAGGCAAGAACTTCACCAGCTGCCTCTTGACACCACTTGAGTTTTGTTAACTCTTTGTCTTCTGCCCTCCGTCTTGGGCTCTAGGATTTTTTATCCCTTGTTTGCTTAATTTGGCAGGTTCCTTCTGCCTGTGCCTCTGTAATGTCTCTGATTGATGGAAGTTCCTGATCTCTCTATTTCAGGATTCCAAAATCATTTCTTTCTTTTTTTTTCCCCCCCCCAGATAGAGTCTCACTCTGTCCCCCAGGTAAGAATGCAGTGGCGCCATCTCGGCTCACTGCAACCTCCGACTCCCAGGTTCAGGTGATTCTTCTGCCTCAGACTGCTGGGTAGCTGAGACTACAGGCATGCACCACCACATCGGGCTAATTTTTGTATTTTTAGTAGAGACGGGATTTCACCATGTTGGCCAGGCTGGTCTCGAACTCCTAACCTCAGATGATCCACCCGCCTTGGCTTCTCAAAGTGCTGAGATTACAGCCGAAAATCATTTCTCTTAACAAAATTATTTCTTGCATCAACTTACTGGGTCGTGAGTGGATAATACATAGAATGAGTTAGTAACTTGGGTGACATAACTATCTTACAGAACGTTTACCTCTTAAAGGTATATTTTGGTCTGGTGTGGTGGCTCACCTTTGGGAGACTGAGGCAGGAGGGTTGCTTTAGGCCAAGAGTTTGAGACAAGCCTGGGCAATATGGAGAGACACCATCTCTACCACAGAAAGAGAAAAACATTTAGCCAGGCGTAGTGACATACACCTATAGTCCCAGCTACTTAAAAGGCTGAGTTGGTCGGGCGCAGTGGCTCACACGTGTAATCCCAGCACTTTGGGAGGCCAAGGCGGGCAGATCACCTGAGGCCAGGAGTTCCAAGACCAGCCTGACCAACATAGAGAAACCCTGCCTCTACTAAAAATACAAAATTAGATGGATGTGGTGGTGGTGCATACCTGTAATCCCAGCTACTCAGGAGGCTGAGGCAGGAGACTCGCTTGAACCTGGGAGGCAGAGGTTGTGGTGAGGTGAGATCGCACTATTGCACTCTAGCCTGGGCAACCAGAGTGGAACTCCGTCTCAAAAAAAAAAAGAACGAAAGAAAGAAAAAAGGCTGAGTCAGGAGGATTGCTTGAGTCCAGGAGTTGAAGGTTACAGCCAGCTGTGATCATGCCACTGCACTCCAGGCTGGGTGACAAAGTGAGATACTGTCTTTAAAAAATACGTAGATATGTATATATATGGCCGGGCGCGGTGGCTCACGCCTGTAATCCCAGTACTTTGGGAGGCTGAGATGGGTGGATTATGAGGTCAGGAGTTCGAGACCAGCCTGGCCAACATGGTGAAACCCCATCTCTACTAAAAATACAAAAATTAGCCAGGCGTGGTGGCGGGA